ATGGAACGTCCCTCTTGTGCTAGAAGAGAAAGCTGCTTGCAAAGTCCCTTCTGGTGCCCCATGTCCACTGCCCTCAATGGAAGCCAGGCATGGGGCCCTCCTGCCTACAGGGGAGGTGGGGTGTGGTAGGATGAGGGAGCAGGCAGGGAGGATTCTCTTGTCCTTTCATCAGTTGTTGATTCTCAGCTGCCTATTTGTAATGGCAGACTGTCACACAAGCCTTGGCCCTCTATGACTCAGCCCTAGCCCAGGCCTGGCCAGCATTAGCTGTACCCCGAGTAGGGCTTAGCCATCCGCCTGGGGTTTCCATGCTGGCCATGTGTGAAGGGACTCCAGGAAGTCAAAGAGGACCGTAGAGAGCCAGCAGGACTCCCTAAGCTCTGTCACTGTGGGTATCATTTCAGGACATGCTCCCTATGTTTGGCTCCACATCCAGGGAACCAGCATTTGATCACATAATTGAAGACTATATCATAATACATAAACACAAGTGGGGCAAATTAAGGTTGCATAGGAAAATGTGACGCTGTATTTCCTAACTTTTGTAAAGTCAAGGCACAGCCGTAACATTCTTTTAATGTAGTGTTTTGGATGTAATTTCCTATGCTTTTAATAAACTTAAACACTGAAAAAACAAAAGTCATCCCATGGGACCACACTGGGGCCCCCTGATGGATCGTCAACAAGGTTACGACCTTTAGATTCACAGCGCACACTTCCACCACTAGAGCTAACAGAGTAACTGATAGCAGTAGAAGGTTGTTATCTTTTATGTGGACCAGCCACTAAAGGGGGATAAGGACACACACTTTGCCAGTGGGTTTCACAGCTACTGCTAGACAGCAAAGAATGTTGAGACTCTAAACAATGGGTTCTAGTTCAGATCTGGAGTGGAGCGTTCTCTAATGGTTACCAAGCCTTGTGTCTCTGCCCCCCCAAGCCTCTACCTGCTCCTATCCCCCTTCCAATTCCTGCCTCTTCCCCTTCCCTGCTGCTATCTCCACCTAGCTCCCCCCACCCAATTCCTCCTGCTCTCTCCCCTCTGCTCCTGCCTGTCCCTAGCTCCTGCCCATGTTGCCCCGCTCTGGTCCTATCCTATCCCGCCCCCAGCTCTTGCGTGTCTCTCCCATTTGTTCCTATTCCCCCTCTCGTCTATTCTCCCCTGCCCACATCCCCTATCCACCCCACCAGGTTTGTATCTCTCCCTCTCCCTGCATCTCTTCCCACCCACCCCAGAACTCCTTCACCCCTCTACATTCCAGCCAGGCTGCTCCTCCTCCATGCTGCCTGGGCTCCAGCAGGTTTAGTATTCAGAGCACAGAAGCACAATCACCCTGCTCTCAGCTCTGGTGACTGGCCCCACAGTGGCCCCTGACAGCTGGGACCAGCAATTGCAGGGAAAGTCCTGCTCAGTCCCTGCTTCCCTAGGTTGGTGTATGCACAGCTGCTTAGTGGGATGGCTTATTTGCAGTCCAGGTGGCATGTAGGAGATGGGAGGGGATGCAGCATACACAGTCCCGAGTACGCGGGCGGGGAGGGGGAAATCTGGGGAGGTACACTTGGGGGTGCTGTAGGGGGTACTTGTGGTGGGGTACAAACTGGAGGTGGGGGGCAGTGCTGCTCCCCATTGCGGTGGCAGGGTGGCTGGTGGAAGCCCAGGATTCAGCAATAGCCATCAGTCAGCACATTCCTGTGGGGACCACCTCCCCAAGGCTGGGAGCCAGGGCCTGGGTGGGCGGGATCTGGCAGCTGTGGCTGCAGGAGAATGGACCAATCAACCGTGGATACAGGGACGGGACCAATCAGGAAGCGGACCAATCCGGGCTCTTTCTGAGCTGCAATGTCTGCTCTGCAAAAATCCTAGACATTATTTGAAATATCTGCCTGGACAGAGGACTAGGATTGCCAACCCTCCTGGTTTCGCCAGGAGTCTCCTGTAATTGGGCTCTATCTCCCGGAGGCTACTGAACCAAACTGGGAAATGTTAGGTGCTAAAAGTCCGGCAGCGCAGCAGGGCTAAGGCAGGCTCCCTGCCTGCCCTAGACCCACGCCACTCCCGGAAGTGGCCAGCACATCCCTGTGGCCCCTGGGGGTGAAAGGGCAGAGGGGGGTCTATGTGCTGCCCCTACCCCAAGCGCCGACTCCGCAGCTCCCATTGGCCAGGAACCTCGGCCAATCGGAGCTGTGGGGGTGGTGCCTGTGGGCAGGGGCAGCGCTCAGAGCCCCCTGTCTCCCCCCAGGGGCCACAAGGATGTGCTGGCCACTTCCCTGTGCCCCTTCCCTAGGGAAGGCAGGGAGCCTGCCTTAGTCCCGCTGCGCTGCTGCCCGGGAGCTACCTGAGGTAAGCGCCTCCTGGCCGGAGCCCACACCCCTCACCCCAGACCTGAGCCCTCTACTGCACCCAAACTCCCTCCCAAAGCATGCACCCCACATCCCCTCGTGCACCCCAATCCCCTACCCCAGCCTGGAGCCCCCTCCTGCACCCAACTCCCTCCCAGAGCCTGCACCCCTTACCCCCTCCCACACCTCAATCCCCTGCCCCAGCTCCGAGTCCCCTCCAGCACCCAAACTCCCTCCCAGAGCTTGCAACCTGCACCCCCTCCTGCACCCCAGCCCAGAGCCCCCTCCCATACTCTGAACCCCTTGGCCCCAGCCCAGAGTCTGCACCCCATCCTGCACCCCAACTCCCTGCCCCAGCCTGGTGAAAGCGAGAGAGGTTGGGGGAGAGCAAGCGACAGAGAAAGAGGGGGATGGAGTGAGCAGGGTGGGGCCACAGAGAAGGGGCGGGACAGGGGGCAGGGCCCCGGGGAAGGGGTGTGGCACTGGGCGGAGCAAGGGTGTTTGGATTTGTGTGATTAGACAGTTGGCAACCCCACAGAGGACGGAGCCTCAAAAAAGAGGCAATGTCTGGGAATATATGGTAACCCTAAGACAGAAAATTTAGCTTCTGGACTCTAACATGTCTCTACTTAGCATGTGCACACTGAAATTTGTCAAAGGTTTATTACTTGGCCAAATGTGGGTGAATTTTCATAGGACTAACATAAGGCACATCCCTGTCACAAAGGCCACCTCTTTGTCAGATTTCACTTCCCTCTTCCAAACCATGGGGGTGCTACAGCTGCTTCATTCAGTGGGTGTCAGAAATTTTTTTAAATAGGGAAATCAATGTATTTCCCCCAATCTAATTTTCAGCAACGCCTGATGTATTTTTGCTGAAATTTTGTTTAGAAATCTGGCCTGAGGCAGATGCCTGGCACAGAAAATTTCAGCCTAAACAGTTTAAGTTTAGTTATAATCAACTGAAGGTGTTGAGCAACTTTAGCTCTGGGCAGTGCTACCTGCTTGGCCTAGAATAACAACTAAATACAACAATAGTTGATAACTTTGCGGGGATGGGCCCTTCAGGGCACTCAGTTGGCGGGATGGGCATTTTGATTACTGACTATCTGCAAACTGGTAGTGACAGCCATCTTGGATACCCAGAAATCTACCCAAAGTAGAGGGTTCATGAATGACACTGGAAGCATCCAATGCTAATTCCAGAAAGTATTTTTGTCCTGGGTAAGTGTACTGTTTAGAACGACAAAAGAAATGGCATGTCCCCTTGGATCTGTGTGTCTGTGAAAGGCAGGGCATTTGGTGTATGCACTAACAGATTCTAGGCTTTGTCTTTAACCTGGACCTGGAGCAGGTATGGAATTTCTCATTAATGCTGGCTATTTTTCCTATTAGATGATGGCTTTCAAACTGTTTAAAACAGGAAGTGATAGAAATGTATCTTCTCTGGTAACAGGTGAACTGAGTCGTCAGCTAGAGGAAAAGGAAAGCATATTGTCCCAGCTAACCAGAAGCAAGCAGGCACTTACTCAGCAACTAGAGGAACTGAAGAGGCAGCTAGAGGCAGAGACCAAGGTATTAATAACTGTTGAGTGGATGCTAAGCTCTAAGGAAATATTGGACCTGATTTCATTAAGAAAACATTTTATATTCTAGATTTGAAACAGCATTGATATCTAAATCTTCATCTTTTAAATGCAGCATTGATGCATTATAAGCATTGAAGCCTAAATCTTAATATCATATATTGTCATTCTGGAGAGATATACACAGTAAAGAATAGAATGTTCATAGTTTAACAGGAGTCCTGTCTAATTCTAGGTCTCTGATGGTGACCCACTAAAATTAATTTCAGTTGTAGGTAACCTGTCCCCTGGATCTTAGTCTTAACATTGTTGATCTGTAATCTGCTAGGGTTGAGCATTTCCAGTCAGGGAGATATACAACCCACAATAAGGAGCATTCACCTTTGTCTTCTCCTAGTGGTCAGTCCACATAAGAGATTCATGAGTCAGCAATAGGTACGGCAGTGGCTCTCAACCTTTCCAGCCTACTGTACCCCTTTCAGGGGTCTGATTTGTCTTGCATACCCCCATGTTACATGTCACTTAAACTACATGTCTACAAATTCAGACATAAAAATAAAAAAGTGTTACATCACACTATTACTGAAAAATTGCTTTTTTCTCATTTTTACCATGTAATTATAAAATAAATCAATTGGAATATAAATATTGTACTTACATTGCAGTATGTAGAGCAGTATAAACACGTCATTGTATGAAATTTTAGTTTGTACTGACTTCGCTAGTGCTTTTCATGTAGCCTGTTGTAAAACTAGGCAAATATCTAGATGAGTTGATATACCCCTGGAAGACCTCTGTGTATCCCCAGGGGTACATGTACCCTTGGTTGAGAACCACTGAGCTAGGGGACTTAGTCTTTTGCTGAAGCACTAGAAGCACATGCTTTGAGTTTGAGAGGATCTGGGTGCATTCATTGCCACTGGCCCAAGTGCGGTCAGTTACAAGTTGATAGTATTTTGTTCAAGTTCTAGGCTAAGAACGCACTGGCCCACGCCTTGCAGTCCGCTCGCCATGACTGCGACTTGCTCCGGGAGCAATATGAGAAGGAGCAGGAAGCCAAGGGTGAGCTGCAACATGCCCTGCAACAATGAAGTTGCCCAGTGGAGAATCAAATATGAGACGGACGCCATTCAGCGCACAGAGGAACTGGAAGAGGCCAAGTACGTGCTGGGGTGGCGGAAGGACTGGAAGTGTCCAAATTTTCTTTAGTATCTATTGGACTAAATATAGAGCCTCTTATTGTAAGACACTGCATCATTTCATCTGAGATTTCATGAATCTTCTGTAGTTCAAATAACAATCATTTATTGGAATCGGAACAACAATGCATTTGACATTGAAGCAATTTATTAACTGCACAGACAAAGCGATATCACATATAGTTAGGACCAAATTTCTAGTGTTTTTTATTTTCACAATGACTGCACTGAAAAAAACAATGACACTGGAATAGCACAGAGACTTCCTTACTTCTGCCTGGTCTCAGGACAACTGTTTAGTAAGTTTAGAAAACAAATTAGACATGTAAATATATAAGAATAGCAGTTCCACTAGCTATCAAAGCTATTACAAAGACTATTGGTCCTCATGTTTTAGATCATAATTTCTTCACTAGATGTACTCAGAATGAAATTTGCACCTGCATTATAATATTGCACAAGCAAGTGCATTATGAGGCTTTTACACTTCTCTTCACATTTACTGGGTCACAGTCAGGAGCTCTGTCTAATTCTAGAAGGTCTCTGACTTTGGCTACTAATGGAGAAAGAATACCAGATTAATCATTGGGCTTCTCTGGTGCTTCAGTTTCTTGTGAAGACATGCATCCAGATGTAAAGATTTAGAAGCAGGGTAAGGTGTTAGAAGAGCATGTACTTAATTACATAAATTGATTATTATTTACTTTCTTTAAGGAAAAAACTTGCTCAGCGCCTGCAAGAAGCTGAGGAGCAGGCTGAAGCTGTGAATTCTAAATGTGCTTCACTGGAAAAGACTAAGCAGAGGCTCCAAGACGAAGTGGAGAACCTGATGATTGATGTTGAGAGAGAAAATTCACTGGCAGGTGCTCTTGACAAGAAACAGAGGAACTTTGACAAGGTGCCATATGAGCTTTGAGATGAGCAATGGTACCTTTTAAACTTCTCAAGGGCCCAAATCTACAGTCCTCACCCAAGAAAAGCTGGGGCTGTAGAAGAGCCTAATCATCTGTAGATCCTTCAGAAGGTGGCTATGTAGTGAAATGGGTTTCAGATGATATGGAGACATGAACAAAGTAAACAACAGTTTTAAACACTGGTAGTTAATCAACCATCTTTGATGTCTTTCAGGTTCTGGCTGAGTAGAAGGCAAAGTATGAGGAGAGTCAATCGGAGCTGGAAGCTTCCTGAAAGGAATCACGGTCACTAAGCACAGAACTTTTCAAAATGAAAGATGCCTATGAGGAAACCTTAGATCAGCTTGAAACAATCAAATGAGAAAACAAGAATTTACAGTGCAAGTGGTTTTCTTTGGGCTGCTTGTTTCCTTTTCATATTCCTATTAGAACAATGATAATGCACAATACAGAGCAAGTCTGGACAGAATCCGGAAAATAAAGCAGAAATCCTGGCTCTCAGTTATATGCTTTAGCACCAGATTTTCAAAGAGAGTTAGGCACATAGGATTTTCAAAAATGCCTATTAGGTTCTGTATTGTTTGTTCTGTATTGTTAGGTACCCAAATACCTTTGAAAATCTGGCCTTTAGCCATAAGACCTATTGTAGCCAGGATACGTGCCATGTAGGCCTAGAAATACTGAGATTTTTACTGTCCAGTCCATACCCCCAAAATGTCTACATGCCCACTGGCCCGTCAGGTATCTTGCTGTGGTGCCAGAAATCCTGGCAGTAGAAAGCAGTACTCAAGAGGCTGACCTGATGTCACTAGCAACTCAGCTTTTTGAAAGTTTCGTTTTGCAGAAGTGATGCTAACAAATATTAACAAGGACAGTGTTGTCAAACTAGTGGGATAAACAGACACCATCATTAAAATACCCTCCAGCCTGTGGATAGGCTGGAGCTATCTGAAGCTTCACTGAGGCACCTGTCCTAGTTCTTTTGATGTCCCTAGTCTGTGTTAGCTGTACATTCTGCAGCTTTATCTATTTTATTTTCCCATGTGTATCTGTATAAGGTGCTGATCTCAGTCACTCGAGCTACATTTTAGTACTTCTCACTTTTCTCTGGCTCCTTTTCACATTATTCCATTTGTGGTGTTTATTTCGTAGTGGAAATAGCTGACTTTACTGAGGAAATTGCAGAAAATGGCAAAACCATCCATGAGCTTGAAAAGGCCAAAAAAACAGATTGAGATAGAAAAATCTGATATCATAGAATCATAGAATATCAGGGTTGGAAGGGACCTCAGGAGGTCATCTAGTCCAACCCCCTGCTCAAAGCAGGACCAATTCCCAACTAAATCATCCCAGCCAGGGCTTTGTCAAGCCGGGCCTTAAAAACCTCCAAGGAAGGAGATTCCACCACCTCCCTAGGTAACCCATTCCAGTGCTTCACCACCCTCCTAGTGAAATAGTGTTTCCTAATATCCAACCTAGACCTCCCCCACTGCAACTTGAGACCATTGCTCCTTGTTCTGTCATCTGTCACCACTGAGAACAGCCGAGCTCCATCCTCTTTGGAACCCCCCCTCAGGTAGTTGAAAGCAGCTATCAAATCCCCCCTCATTCTTCTCTTCTGGAGACTAAACAATCCCAGTTCCCTCAGCCTCTCCTCATAAGTCATGTGCTCCAGACCCCTAATCATTTTTGTTGCCCTCCGCTGGACTCTTTCCAATATTTCCACATCCTTCTTGTAGTGTGGGGCCCACAACTGGACACAGTACTCCAGATGAGGCCTCACCAATGTCGCATAAAGGGGAACGATCACGTCCCTCGATCTGCTGGCAATGCCCCTACTTATACAGCCCAAAATGCCATTAGCCTTCTTGGCAACAAGAGCACACTGTTGACTCATATCCAGCTTCTCGTCCACTGTGACCCCTAGGTCCTTTTCTGCAGAACTGCTACCTAGCAATTCGGTCCCTAGTCTGTAGCTGTGCATGGGATTCTTCCGTCCTAAGTGCAGGACTCTGCACTTATCCTTGTTGAACCTCATCAGGTTTCTTTTGGCCCAATCCTCCAATTTGTCTAGGTTCCTCTGTATCTGATCCCTACCCTCCAGCGTATCTATCACGCCTCCCAGTTTAGTGTCATCTGCAAACTTGCTGAGAGTGCAGTCCACACCATCCTCCAGATCATTAAT